GATTGTTTCAGTGCCGAGAATGTAAAAATGTCTAATGCAGTAGGCCTTCGCAACTCAAATATCATCTCAAGGAGGAATCTTGAATTCAAACCCCAAGGCAGAAGACATGATCCAGACCGAGATCTAACCTTCAGTCATCAGAAAGAAATGCATATAAAAAAGACGGTTATTGAAATCGTCCGCCAAATCACAAAATATCAGATAAGTTCCTAAACCCCATCCCCGATATTATAATAGCTTGCAACAGTACAATAACATTATGTTCGTGCAAACACCATTACATACGTAATATTAATATTATCCCATTACATATGTTGAGTTCTGCATTTGTTATCGCTCATTTTCTCCCAACTTTGATTGGACACAATATTTCATGTTATCCGTTTATATGTTATTGTCATTTGTCCCATTTTCATGTTATTAAAAATATATTTATTAACATCGATTGTTTCGTTTATCTTTGGTCTACGGTCGGTCGAATGTGTCATTTAGGGGATCCGGGAAAATTAAATTCAATTAAATCCTAATTGAATTAATATTTACTTTTTTTTTTTTACATTATCTATTCCGCCGATGATACGATAATACAAGGGAAGCAACCCTAATCCCTAGACAAGAATCCTTTAACGGAACGTTAATTGAGAAATAAAAAGAAATATAATCGTGCAGGATATATTGATCCTAACCTGTCGTTATCCATCCATACGATAATAACGTTTCGGGGTGGATCTATGATACTTGCTTCTTGTTAATATGCAGTTTGTAAAGCTTCAGTAAATTATACATTTTATAAGGTTGTGCTATAAGGCTTTCACTGATCACTGGAATTAAATTCCAACTCTACAATTTTGAACCTTTTAAGCTTGTTTCTTCAAAAACAGTAACGATTTGGGAAAAAGAACTATTTTGTGTCATTATTTATCATGTCAAACACCAATTTTGAAATTGAATGCAATACCACGCTTCTACTGAGCTGTTGTGGAGTCCGTTACTAATGCCAGACTGGTCGGATCTGCCTTCGTGGATGAAATCAGCGTCGCTTTTATAGTGAGTCAGTGTTTCAGAACAGCCAGCTGCTGTAAAAACCGCTTGGTACTTTTTCTAATTGGTCAGAAAAGATGTTTTATGACCCTGGTATTTTTTTATGGTATTCCGGAAGTGGGTGCGCAGAGTAGGACAAAATTATGGTCTGTTTTTGTCACATGAGCTGTGGATTTCGAAGTGAGCACTTCCGTTCGGGTTAAAGAATTGGAGTTTCGACACATCCAACCCATTCAGAAATGCCTAAACTATCAGCTATATGCAACCGTTTTCTGAAATCAATGATTAAAAATGGCTTCAAGTAAATGCATTCTCTAGGTTTTAATGAAGATAATTTTCCATTAGATCTCATAGAATGGCGCTATAGAATAACAAATAAAGATCTTTACCAAATAACAAAAACCATATCACTTGAACACTTCCAACAGCAGCAACAACTAAAATGAATAGCACATGTAACTAGAAGGGAAAATAATAATATAATCAAGACGTTGACTTTTTTTTGCTTTAAACAAAAGGTTAAACAGGAAACCGTATCAATGCTAGAAAGAGTGTTAACAGTGTATTTGAGAAGTTTCATTTCTTGAAAAACTATTAAAAAAAAAGATTTTTATAAATCTCAACGGCTTGTAACGCTAACTCTTTGATCAATGAATGCCGAATGTTTCCGAATTGGAAACAGCTAATCTCACTCTTACCATTCTGGAATTTAAATCTAACACCTTTCCGTTTTCACTTAAATACATATTTGGAAAAAAACTAAAAAAATCTGTTAATATCGGTACGCGAATAATTTTTCGGCATCCTTGCTGTTAGAACCGTGACGGATTATACATTTTATAATTCATGTTCAATTTTTCTATGTGTTTTATGAGTATTTACACTAGTTATATTCGAACTTTGTCTTCATCTTTGTTGTTTTTATCACAACGTTTCGGCTGCTGTACCCTCCGGTCTTCCTCAGGTGTATATCGACCTAGGCAACCTACAAGGAATTTTGAACTGAACCTTTTATTTAATCTCCGGGGATAGACTCTTCTTGTTCCACTGCTTATGTTTAGGGACATCGTTTAGTTTTTATTTTATTTACCTCTGTTCAGTTATTGCTCGCCTGTTTTCACTAAGTGAAAGTCCCCACTGTCCGATCCAGGGATTGAACTCCCAATTACTATGTCACCAAATTTACCGAGTAGGCCATTGGAATAAACTTACGGCTTTAAAACTCGCATTTACTGCTGATTAGGCTGTCACCGTTGCTGCTGCTATTGGCTGTCATGTTTTGACTGCTGCTGCTGTGATAAAGCACAATATGGCTTGATGTTGTTGTTGGTAACGTAACCTGATCTCCCTTTCTTAGTAATGACATATTCTGTGGTGATCAAAGGGCATTACGAGACAATCCAGGGTAGTTTGAAATAAATATTAACTCAAGTCTCAGCGGGCAATCCCCACCAGGTAATACCTCTCCTTCGCGCGGTTGGAGGCGGGGGGAGGGGGCTGGAGAGTTATTACTTGGGGTCTGCGGTGTCCTCAAAAGGTAAAATGCCGAGTAGTCTTCAGCCATTTTAGAAGGACTTCCCAATTTAAACCTCAACCTTCTGTCACATTGTTGCAATGTGGGCTCGCGGATAAATACCTATTCGACACTAACAAACGTGACTCGTGATGCTGTTGAGTATGTGAGATGGGTGTTAAGAAATATCAGAAGGTCTGAATGATGAGAAGGCTTAAAATTGTGTGTGTTCAATAATCTTCCATCCACAACAATTAATACAAGACAGAGAATAATTATTCAAAATCATAACGTATTGTTTCGAAACGTAACACTTGAATTTATTACGTATTTGATATACATGCATGTGAACTGAAAAGGTTAGAGTTGTGTCTCTTAAACTTGGAAATATTTGTACCTGAGCTCATAAAGTGAAAGTAATTATTAAACTGTAGTTTAGAAGAATAAAGTTCCTTTAGCATGTTTGGAATTGTGAGTTGTAAACCTTGGTAAGAGTTCAGAAGAGATTTTAGAGTTCGTACTTGCGTGAATGTTGGTAATGTTCTTTAACGTCTGACTGCATAGTCAAGATGGGAGTTCTTAAAGGCAACATCTTGGCAGCGAGGAATGAGACGCGAGAGAGAGAGAGAGTTTACACGTTTCCTTTGTGAATAGGGTACATCAGGACACTAATACAATGCTTTTTATTTTCGTTCTTTCATGTTAAGTTTCTTTAGATATTTTTAATCAAATAAAATAAGAAAATAATCTTCTTCAAAAGTAGAATTTACGGTCTTAGATTTGACAATAGAGTTAATGACATAGATAAAGACTTAGTTTAGTCTTTTTCTGCAAACATACACAAGTGTTTTTTTTTTGTTTGTTTCTTCACTGGTTCCTCAACGACCATAAAAGAAGTTGACTGCTTGGCACGAGAAAGAGACAACCCATTTTTACCTTTTCCTTCTCCCTTCGCTCCTTATTTCTCCCAACTGCCGCCGAAAGAGCTTCACAACCAAGGGGAGACAACCATTAATCAAACACTATTATATCAGTCACACTTAGATTACTCAGGTAGAAAATATTATGTAATTGAAAAATTATTAACATATTACCATTAATATTTCCCCAAAATAAAAAGAATTTATATTTACAAAAATTCACACCAAATTCTCCCAGAGTGATGCCCATACATTGTACTCTGATTGGATTTGCGATCGACCCAAATGTTGGCGACTCGGATACGCTATTTCTAAGTGTGGGGCCTTCATTCACCTTCACCCGAATAAATAAGCAAAAAACAGATTTTTTTTTAAATTGTAAAAAATCCTAACCTTAACCCGCTAACTCGCGCCAAAATTTTAATAAAAAAAGAAACTTTGATTTAGAATTTCAAAAGAGTACCAAAAATTCAATAAAAAACAAACAGACTTTGATTTAAAATGTATAATTTCTTTAGGTGAATTAATATTTGTGTTAAGTAACTTTACATTATTTGGGATGTATTAACAGAAAAGATTCACAGTTTTTTTAAATATTAATTTTTCATACTAATTTTCACCGAATAAAAGGCTTAAGATACGTTCGGTCTGGGATGAAAGTGTAGTATCTGGCTTTGGGAGGATAAACTGTTTTATCTCTCAATTGTGACCCATTCATACTTGCTAAAGAATGAAGATCAACGAACATGTACAACATGCCAAGCTGCTCTCATGATGAAACACATTTTAATTGAATGTACTCCCTTAGCCCCTTTAAGACACAAATGCTACAAGGAAATCAACATAAAACTATTTGAAAATACTGAAACTATCAGCATAATGTCCTACCTTAAAGTAATGGGTTTATACCAAAATATATAACATCTACAGTAGATCATCTACAAACTAATCTATAAAACCTACATTTACCCTAAAAGTATAAAAATATGGACAAAATATCTGTAATTGAAGGCATAACATTGCTTACAAAATTGAATAACACATAGAGGTTGGTATGATGCTAAACAAAATCAACCAAACCAAATCATTTTGAATGCTGAATGTTGCGGATTACAATCAAAATAGTTATGCCAAATAAGGTACGTGATATGAATGAACGAGAAGGTAGTAAGAAATTAAGATTATGAGGAAAAGAGGGGAGATGACCTTTGACCGTTGATTTGAAGGAGTGAAGATTGAAGTCACTGATTCTTTTTGATTGATTAGTTCGTTTTCTATAGCTTATCAACCCTTTGCATGTTATTTAAATCCAGAAAATATTTTTAGATTGTAAAAAAATTGGGGGTGGGGCGATATCAATGGTGTAGGGATACAAGCTTGGGGAGTGGAGAGAAGAGGTGGATTCAGGTTTATTCATACCTAAGGGTATTTGCGCGTAAGTGAATATAACCCGAATGGAACTGGAAGTCGACTCTCTGGTTAACAATTCGGAGCCATTATCCACTACACCACCCGCACATCTAAGTTTACAGCACCTGGTATTCCCAAGGGATCATCTATCTAGGTACTGACCAGGCTCGACTTTGCTTGACTTCGATGATTGTACGGGAATCGGTGCTTTAACGTGATGTGGCCGTAAGTCTTAAGATTGAAGTATTCAGGGAAGCAGTAACGCACCAGTCTGTTCCACGAAGTGTGAGTTATTGTGAAAAACTGTCTGAGTAGGACTTCTTTCTTACATTTGGAACACGGGGGAAATGAAGACGATTTGAGGTCGTGGAAGCGGCATGGAATGTTCTAGCTGTAAAGGTTTGAACTAGTGGAACTAAAAAGTGGGCTTTATTTGAAAACTTTCCATAGAAATAGCGATAGAGTAGCCATAAGCTTACAACGTTGCATCTGTGGTAAAGCGGCTGCAAAGTGGAAAATCTCACCACCCACAAGACAACACAAACGATGGGTAAAACAGTAATTCAATGATACATCTTTGACCCACGAGTTATGATTATCTCGTATATAGAAAGATATGGCGTCATTGCCAATTTGTGTCAAAATTAATATAGAAAAAGTAACCCTCTACCTTGAGTGGAGCTTGAGCCTTGTCTTGGGCGAATTAACTGCAAAAAAAAAACCCAAAAAACTTCCAATAATTGAGATACAATTTAAAACAGTAATTTATTTACATCTTTTAAAGCAAAATTTTGTGAGAACAAAAGCCACAAACAATAAAAGAAATAAACAGGAATACGTTTGAAGTGGATTATCTCCCTTACACATATAGTGTCTTGATTATAGTGTCAAGCGGTATTAATATAAAAAGCAGCGCGCATTCAAAAATCTTTACCATTTCCCATTTTTTTTTTGTTCCCTGGACAGCTATCGCTCAGTGTGTAAGTAAATTGGCTACACCCGTCAAGTACTTGCAATCAGTCTGACACATACACTCACACAATTACTTATTATTTCCAAAAATTGTGATTTTTGTGAGACTATATTGTTTTTATTTTAAACGGGAATAATGTTTGTTTATTTATTCGTCATTTATATTTGAATTTTTTCGCAGAAGTAGTGACCACAACCGTTTTTAAGATGAGACTTGAGGTAAGAGAGATGTCGTTCTACAGGAGGATGCTGAGAATGCCATAGACGGAGAATGTAAATAACGAGAAAGTTTTAAAAGAAATGGAAACAAGAAGGACACTTTTACCTAAAATCAAAAAAAGTTGAAATTTCTAGGGAGCATCATGAGGGGGGAGAAGGCTTCGAAAATAGGACACTCACAGGACATATTGCAGGTAAGAGAGGGACAGGGGGGAAACAGCGAGTAACCTACTTAACAAGCTTGTGTAAGTGGATGACAAAACATGGAGTGGTAGGGATAGTAAAAAGACAAAAATTGCCTAGAACTACAAAGTGCAGGAAGCTGTGGAGAGCTATGATCGTCCACATTCTGAAGGGAAGCAACATATATAAGAAGAATATAAAGGATACATTGACCGAAAAATTAAAAAGAAAAAAAAATAATTGATTTTAAAACTTGACAAAAATGTTGTTAATTTGTAACAATAATTTATACTCAAAGTAATTTTTTTAAATTTGCATTCACATTTCCGAAGAGACCGCTTTTTTATCGGTGAAAATCGGAATATATATAAAAAGGTGAAGAGAAGGAAAATATTATCAAGTGGCTGCATAAGAGCAATCAGGGCCGTTGTCGGCATTAATTAAAATTATCAGTTTGTAAAAATCTACTTTTCTTAAAACAGAAGAAAAAAAAAATTCTGTAAAGATTAATCTGATGACAGCGATAGGAATCGAACCCATGTCCCCGAAGAGACTGGTGCTTTAATTATTGTTAATTATTTTTAATTTTGTATGACAATCAAAATTAAACTGTGAGCCTTCCACACGAAATATTTTCTTATCTTGTATTCTACTGAAGTTGATAATTAAAATAGCAAATAAAATTTCAATAACTGTGATTTTTTAGACTATACAGAGCCCAAGAGTCACTCAAGGTAGAGATTTACTGAAGGGGGTTGTTTTGTGAACGGTAAAAGTAAGAGGCGCAGTTTATGAGGATATGTGGGAAAGATAACGGTTTACGCTAGATTTAATGAGGTTAAAATAATAGTGCTCGGGAAAGCATCCTCTTGGGAGTCGGTTCCAAAAAGTAGCTGTCCGGATGGGACTTACTTCTAATTAATGAAGTACAAAAAGACTGTGTGTTTGGCCTCGGTGTACGTGGCGTGGCAGGTCTTAGTTGTGAGAGTAAAATATAAAAAGACTTTGTATGTAAATGCCACGCCAGTGGTAATAGGGTCAGACCAGATAGGAAATGTAGGCGCCATTTCAAATTGCTCATTATTTTTATAATAAGTGCTATTAATGTATATAAATTTTCTTTACAATATTAAAGTTTAGCGCTAAAGGATGTTCTTTGAGTCTGTTTATAATATCAATATTCTTTATCAAAGAGTTCCTCTTTACCTCAACCTCATAAGAACATGTCAATTAATCTACCTGTTCCCCATCTGATCTTGTAAAGGTGTGTGCAAATTGAATTTTGTGGATGTGCGGATAGTTTATATCCGTGCGGAAAGTGAGATCGGTGAACAGGGTTCAAATTTTGGGCTTGTCTGTTGTGTTTATTTGTTTTTCTAATAATGCCCTTCCATGAGTCCACATTTTCTCTTGTTAATTGTTAAATAGCCGAGTAGACATGTCGTATCCTGTCAGCACTCGCACATTTTTGAAAAAAAAAAAAAAAAAACTGAAAGAAAAAGCTTAACGAACGTTGGTGTAAGACTGATTCAAGAGATAATGAGGCCTCAAAAGTACCCCCCTCCCCCCAAAAAAGGACGTTTCGCGATCGAGAGTCATGGGTAACCTTTTTGTAGCAATGGGCCGCATGATCCTTGGCTCGTCACAAGTTGGGTCGCACTACTAAAAAGATTCAAGCTAATTTTTTTGTAGTAGCTATCTCAGTTATTTCCATTACAGTATTCCATATATTTTGTAATTCCCGTTTATAGGAGAGACTTTGTAAATCACAGATGCAAAATAATAGTAACCAATCCTTGGTCAAACGCCACTAATTCCCATACATATATTTTCCTTTTTACCCGTCACGTGATCTAATTATTTCAAGATGAGACTGTACTTGCTCTCTGGCAATCCTTGTTCAAACCCAAATGTCGGCAGCGACATTTTATTCCTTTATGACTATATACGTGTGTATCTCAGAAATAAGGGAAAAGTTAATTTCTTTTTCTTTGGAGAAATGATTTTTCTATGATTAAAAAATTGAAGTCTTGCTATAATATTATCATTGATGACAGTGTGATTAACACATGTCACTGCATGTGATTTATTTGTTTGGTTTGGTTTGGTTTGGTTTGTTTTACGGCATATCAACACCTCAATGGGTTATTTAATGCTGACAACATTTTTAGGATAGATTCGTATGAATATAATATGTATTCTTTGGTTTTGATTGGTTTGGTTTATTTTGTTTTACGGCATATCAACCTCAATGGGTTATTTAATGCCAACAATTTTTATTGCTGGTACTTTTTTTTTTAAATGTGTTGCTATCATATTATATTATAATATTTTTTCCTTAAAAAAATCAATTTCTGGTAATATATTTTGATAAGTGTATTGCTGGTAATACATTTTTTATTCAAAATATTTATTGCTGGTAATAATATTTTTACATTTCTGGTATTAAAACCTATTTTTACACTTTCATTGTGTTTCGAACCCAGTTTGGGGGTCAACTATTTGCCCATAGCTGGGGCCCTAACAGGTGCTACCACCCCGGGTCAGGGTGGACCTGGGAACACTAGCAATTAAGAGGTGGTTCCACGCTCCTCAAAACCTCCTGATCAGAGGACTTGCTGCTGGACGAAATTTATCGTTTTACCCAGGACGCGGATGTAGTTTTATCCAGGACGCGGATGTCATACCCAGGACGGGATTTATTTGTAATTCATTCATTTGAAAATGAAATAAAATGTATATTTCTTCTTTAGTGAAAAATTATTATGTTTCACAAGTAAAGGACGTTTACGCGTATGACCTTCCTTAGTGAAAATCATCAATAGGTGAAAATAATGAAAACATTATTTTTATCGAATGTTTACAAAATTCAAGAAACATTGTACTTAATCATTGTGGTTATGCATGAGAGAATGTGTGAGTGAACAAGTGAGAACAAAACAAAATTTGAAGAAACGTTATTTCCTTTAAGAAATTAAGCGGGCTATTCAGAAAGAGCGAACAGGCTGCAGTTTAACCATGAGAGCCCTAGACTTTCAATAATACAAATATCCTGAATTTCTTATTACTAACATTGGCTGGTTACCAATTATACTGTGAAAACAGACTTACATAGCAAACTATCTTATTTGTCTCGCCATAAATGTCCAAAAAATGCATTGTCCGTGAAATACATTGGAACTTAGATATTCTGGTAGAAAATCTAACAAGAGAAAACATTTTCTTCTCAGCCTTTTGACCTGAGAGGAGCATTATATAACTAATTCTTTTTTCAGGAGACCCGTCCTCACAGGCAATACACACTTATACTCGGCCTTGTGCAACTCACAGTGTGTTAGAGAATATAGATGTGCAGATAAATATCACTTCTCAGTTTTCTGACTAGGACTGGGATCAAATATGGGAGAAAATGATACACAAATTTTTATATACTAGAATTATCCTAGGAAAATTAATGATAAAGTGGAAAAAATTTCTGTGCATGTGTATCAGCGAAAATATTACTTTTAGTTTTAGTTTAGTATTTTTTTTTTTAGTCCGACGAAGCTCTAAAGTATGAAACGCGTCACACAACTTTTTCCCCCGATTTCTCATTAATTTTCTTAACATATAAACATACACAGAAATATATCAAGTGAATACAAACGTTTACAGTAAAACTCACTTTAAATCTTGACCTTGTGTCACAACCAGTACTGACGTGGACGCACTGAAAACAGCGACAATGTTTAAAAATCTTAAATCTTAAAGAAGATTGATAAGCGACACAAATACATATAAATAGTATAACATTATCAATATAATAATTCGTAGATCGGACAACTGTCGTTGGTAGCGTGGCCGAGTGGTCTAAG